TCTGGCTGCCAATGGTGACATCATGACAACCACTCCCTCAGTGTGCTCGTGGTTGTCGTCTGGGTGACCGGAGTAGATTGTTGACTCTCTCGTTGACAATGCTATCAATCCACATCTATTCCATCTGCTTTCGCAGATATCCAGTGCTTCTAATCCATATCTTCGCATCTCTTTAGCTACCTTGGCAGCCTTCTGAGTCTCGTAAATTGTACGGACATTCCACGTACCCATTATTACTCTTGATTTCACCGAGAGAAGACAAATCGGCTGGCTGACTGCCTTCCCGAAGTCTTTCACCAGCCCGCGTCACTTCACTTCTCCGATTCGAGCGAAGAATAAGATTTGTATTTGAAGTGTTCGTATTTTTGCATGTTGTTTGTATTTTCTGCATGTTGACGTTTCTCTAGAGTTTTGAAAGATTTATTGTTGTGGGGTTGCTAGCCCCACACACAATCTTGCCTCTTTACCCGGGATTGAGACTGGCTAGAAAACTAGCAAGCTAGTTAACTAGGCTAGGTTTGGTTGTTCTGAACAATTTAAATAAGTAAATTTCATTATGGATAAGATTTTATTTTGATAAATCACAGTGTTGTACAGTAATTTTAATATATCCATAATGAAGTTACGCTCTACCACAGAGCCCAAGTTGTTTACTTATATCAATAAGTAAATTTCATTTAGAATTTTAATTGTTGGTTCATGAATAACTGTCAAAGTTCAGGAAGGTGTTTAAACGACAAACTAACGTCTTTATTCCGATATGATATTTTGATGAATATGAAAGATTCTAAAGCATATGGCCCAGCATCAGTATAAATCATTTCTGAGACATGTAAAATAACTGACATTTTTGACTTGTGAGAATATTTAATTGGAATAAACTGTAAGGTCGTATTTCAGCAAAATATTTGGTTCTTGCTATTAATTCACTTTCGACTGATTTTCATGCAGGAAATAATTTTGGAACAATTTAGACTGTCAGATTCAATAATGTAAGAAACCTTGAGAAGCTGGAATTAAATACAAAATTGCTAGGTTCCTGTTTCAAAGGAAACGTTGCTCTGAAGTGATAGGAGCAGTCAGTTGAAAGTAATGGTATCAGGACTTCGGTGTTCTTTTGTGGAGTCTCTTCTGCGGTGAATATCTATGTATCCTCCAAGCAATCACCCTGTTCTTATCCCGAAGAATAAATATTTAAAAATAATCTATTTCGTTAAAGGACTAGTGCACGATGGTGAAATCATCTGTCACTAAGTTTGTTAGAGTCTATCATAAGCTTAAATTTAAAGCTCTACATTTAAGTCAGCAAAAATGGTTTCTGTGGTCATAAAAAGTGTTTTATTTTGCTCAGTTTGCTCTAAGGAATTCACATCGGTGTGTTTCCATGAAATGTTTTTACTTGTATACCAAGTTTTGTCTTTGTGATTTCTTTGTTGTTAACTACGTGTTTCGTCTTTTCGGTCTTGAGGTAAATACCTTATTTTTGTCTGGACTATGCGCTGAAAATTCTTCTTTGGTGCTTTTTTGTAAAACAACTGAGGAATTCAGTAGTTCAGAATGATTTTTCGATCCTTACTCAAGTGTCTGAAAGATAAAATGAGTAATCATTATGGATATTTTAAAAAAGCTAGAACCTGGTTAACTCCATTAAGAATAAGATTTTATTTTGATAAATCACACAGTGTTGTACGGTAATATTAACTGATGACGTTTCGAGCACAAACTATTGCTCATGATCATATCATATCAAGAACTTGAAATGATTATGAACAATAGTTTGTGCTCGAAACGTCATCAGTTGATATTACTGTATAATAAAATAAAATCTTATCCATAATGGGGTTATACTCTACCACAGTGCCCAAGTTGTTTACTTATATCAATAGAACATGGTTATGTCGATTACAAATGTAGGAATGCACGATTCTATAGAATCTCACCTCCAAAGCTATACAGTCATTCAGCTGCTTATATTTACGTTGTTAGCTGACAAAACAGCCAGAGATTATTACAGCCTAGTAGCAAAATAAGTCAGTGGGTAAGAAATAACGTGTTTAAAATGGTATGTAATATCAAACAGTCAAACGAGTTGACGATTAATTCGTTTTATGATGAATAGTCATTTGGAAATAAATGACAAGGCACAAGAGAAAAACGGTTAAAATGTGTTACAATAAAGAAAAATGAAAAGGACTACGTACCGCTTATTATGCAAACAATTAAGAAAATTAAGTTGGCACTATGTCTATGGTAGTAAAAGCGGTTCGATAAGACTTTTCTGAACACAAAATTGGAGTTTTTCTTTATGGGTTGTTACAGCTTTGGTTGCATGAAGTAGGTACAAGCGGAATCCTTTTGAGAGGCCTGACCTTACTTTATATATGATTCTGAATGAAGTTTGTACTGATACTGCATGACCAGAAGTGATAATATGCTTCATAATGCAGCTGTCGTCCGTTCTGCGTTAGTCTGTCAATATTCATGCTGGTAGGTGTTCATGAACGAGTCTAAACAGGACCCTTCTGGTACTGCTAGTGACTTTGAGCTAAGCAAAACTGGATACATCACTGATGAACCTGGCTTCAAACGGGTGAAGCGACCATCTAGTGTTTAGATAACTTCGGTATGGCTAGCAATCACTAATAGTTGAACTGAGCGGTTTCCGACTGCTCATATCACTCGATCAGTGGCATATAATTTCATGTCATTTATGGTTTACAGCAGACATGTTAATAATTCGTAAATTGTGAACTAGACTATCTCTAGTAATAGCTAGCATATTTGGATCTGGGATAGTTCCAGTGGAATGGTATGCACTGCTCATCATCCTATTTCATAAAGAAAAATTAACCTTCCTGTGATAATCATGGAGGGACTAATTTAGCGATTATAATATGTGAGATTCTAGGTTTCATATTCCTGTGAGGACTTATCACAGCTTTGAAAAACAAGCTCATTAAAATGAAGAGGGGCGTAAGTGCAGAGGAATGCGTTCTGATCAAACGTTCGCCATTCAACATATCCACGAATACCACTCGCCATATATAGTATTTTGAAGGCGATATTCTACACCATCAGTCAGTACGTTTTATGGTGACGTATGGAAATTATGAAGGGAATGTCACAAGTGTATGTTGTACTAATTGAGGTATTCTGCTCAGACTCATGAGTCTTTGCAATCGTTTTTGAAAGGCTATCGTCTGAAAGGAAGACAATCAGTGGTATCGATCTGGGATGCCACATGTCACTACTTTTACTATAGATTCATTGAATCAGGTGAACCTGGTGAGAATTTTCTTTCTAACTGAGGACAGTCTCAATGATATAGAGTATATGGATGACAGTAACAAAATATATAGAGTATACTGAATACCTCAAACCAAAATATCAGTATGTCTGGCTGTTGCTGTTGCGCAACTGAGTTGCACTGATTCGTAGTTTAAGTAGGAAAAGGGCTAACCAGTTTCCCTATTTAGGAAATGGAATCAATCAATCTATTCGAATAAATCTGATGAGGAAGCTGTGGCTTACACGGCGAAACGTCCAGAAAAATCTTGTTTTGATTTTCTTAACACGCTGGGATTAATTTAAATAATTTATAATGATTCTACATTAATAGTTTTATTCAGTTTGACGACATCCACTTTTTATATATGGTTCAGACAACTGATGGGTCATTGAAAGCATTTACATCAGACTGCAGATGTCCGTCGACACTTGTCTTTGTTCCCTACTGAAGATCAGACGTCCGTCCAGAAGAAATAAATAATCAACAAGGAAATCTGACAGCAAACAAACCACCAACCTATTGCCAAACAAATATGCAGAAGGAAATGGAGATGGACTAGGTATAGACAGAGGAGTCCATTGAGTGATATCATGCGCGAGACTAAGGTTTGAACATTGATAGAAAGCGTAGGGTAGAGTGTCCGACGGTGACAAAGATAAAGTTATATAAAGAGCGAGTGAAAAGTTCTGGCTTGTCTTAGATCCAGAAAAGAGTTCAACGGAGATGTTGAGCTGAAGGCCTCTTCTCCACTAGTTACACTAAGGAAAAATGGAAATACGGGAAATGAACATCCCATCAATACAAGGGGTAGTTATAATCATAATTAAGCATATAAAGAAATCGATGGGAAAGATAGGACAAATACTTTATTTCTGCCCCTAAGTGAGTATGATGGTTGTTAAGGTCCTAATCAAGTGTTTGAAGCGGAAAATTAGCAACGTAATTTGATTTAATTTGTTATTCTTTTACACTCATTAATTTTTATACTGCCAAAATGTTTGTGAGCACTTTTTATAATAACAAAGACATGAAAAACAAAGAGATGATTAGCTGTAACAGAAAAGTAGAAAACATTGTCATAGATACGGTACTGCAATATACCCGCTCTCTGGAAGAAAGCCTTGCATTACTTTGAAATATAGATTACAATATGCTCCAGTAAATAAAAGGTGTTTTTTATTAAGCAGGGTTTTAAGTAATTTTAATATTTGAGACTCCCGGTTGTGGTAATTAAAAAGAAAGTGAAACTGGTGTAAGTCACTTAAAAACATACTTTTAATTCAAAACAGAAACTTAATTTTCCACTTATACAACATTTAGGAGATGATTTTACACCAAAACGCAATTTACAAGCTTTTGTCATTTCATTTTCAATAGCAGCCTACTGATTGATAGCAAGCTAAAAATCTAATGGCAGGCGTTTTCGATAACAAAGAATGCGATTTCGGTTCACAAAGTTGCGATGAATTATTGGTAAACTTTCTCTGTTGCTTTACAGAGTATTAATAATAAAGGATGTATTTTATGTTGGAATTTTTTAAATTTGTTTCCTGAACACGATACTGCTGAAAACAAGATCATTAACTTAATTAATTAAATGTCATGAAGTTAGTTCTCCACAGAGTTGTTTTTATGATTTTTTATGTACATAGGAAATATTTTATTTATTATTTTAATTATATACCTTATTTAAACACATATTTTGCTTTAGAAAATGCATCACCATTCGATACAAAGGGCAAATCAAGCACCAACTCAACTACAAATCGTCCAGAACCAATAAAGAAAATTATACGATCATCAATTACAGAGACGGAAGAGGTCAAAGAAAAGTCCTTCAAGTCTTATTTTGATGCGTCATCTTCTGGATTCACTCAGACACCTGAAGAAATTTCCGATTTAACCAAGACTCGAATACCACATGCTAAATATCCAAGCTACTCATCCTCGACAAGTTCTTATCAATATCATCATCATGTTGAAAATGTGTCTAAAAAACCTGAAGACCATATGAATAATGGTAACGTAACATCACACAAGGTTATTTCGTCTGTAACAAAAGTAACACCGGAGACCTCGACAATACATATGAATGATTGTGAGAGTATTTCCAGACCACAAATAAGTGTTCCCATCAAAGTTCGACGTGCACCTCAGGATGTTCGAGTTGTACATTCTTCAAACTCTAGTTCTTTGACAAGGTTAGATGAATTCAAACGAAACTGTGAAAGAGCAGCAAAGGAATGGGAAAATATAATCAGCTCAAAAGATAGTAATAAATTATCCGAAGAAGTAATGCTGCAAAGGATAGCTGAGTTAGAATCAAATGTAAAAGAAGCTGAAAAGTAAGTGGTTTTATCTGTGTGTGCTTCTTCGTTTTTGAATACAACAGATTAGCTGATGAATATCAACTGAATTTAAAGTATATATGTTCCCCTTTTTAGGAAGACAGAACATTTTTCATCTTAAACATCCATCACTTAAGCACAAAATACTAGTCAGAAACACACATGCAACATGATTGATCTGTCTGTCTTCACATCAGATAGATATTTTGCACTGATACAGTTTTCAGATAAAAATCAAAGTTCATTTGTCTAAACTTCATTAATTAAGTCGATTTATTCAAGGTGTGCCGGATTGTTACTATTATTTTTTTGATATGATATTTGTGCAGTATTCAGCAGTTTCTTAAACTTCTCATTATTAATTTCGTTGTCTTTCTCACAAAAGATAGGTCCAGATGAGTCGTTATTTCCTAGATATATTGCTTATAATTTACTGACTTTTGTTATAATTTAAATACTTTAAAATGTGACTACATGTTTCAACATGTCACTTTTTTCATTAGTCATGCTTATGCAGAAGACGGTTTTCTTATCTCAGATTTAATACCCTTAAACACAGTGGGCGATTTCTGTATTTGTTTAACCTAACATTTTAGTACGGCAAATTAGGGTTTTGACTTTTTTCATTAATGATTTGTGACTGCTTTTATTTTATAAGGCTCTCCGTTACTTATAACTAACTATATTAATTTCTCATTTATGTGTGGAGACTCATGTACAGTGACTTACTTTGAATGTAACTACATCGCAAATTATTTGGCACGCTGAATAAGAAGTAAAATCATGAACAAATCTGAAAAAACTTTCAGCATTCAGACATGCACTACTTCAGTGTGTATAAACAGTTTGATTGAAACTAATCAAATTCATCTTTCAGGGCTAATGACATATTGTCGCATGACGTTACGCTAAGTATATTTGAAGTATTTGTCACTGCACACTTAGTCTTAATGAATGAAAATCTTTCTTGGCTGTTTTACATGAATGGTTTTCTTCGTTATAATAAATGTAACACAAGAAAAAAATTTTTTTTGAAGTGCAATGGACAAATTTATCATAATATATACTTTAGTACACAATATTGTAATGTTCCGTGGCATCTGTAAACAACACCAGCAGAATAAATGAATGCTATCTGACGAAACTTTCAAACTGATGCAAAAGTGGAAGCCTTTGAGCACTTCATCTCTGCTTTAGGTAAGTTTATTCACCAGTTCTAAGTTGTGACCACTGGAAAGATATTATCATCTTTTCACGTGTTTTCTATATAACAAACAACATACACACTCATACAGACATATATACGTATATGAAAAGTTGACATTAGTCAATACATATATCTGATGAATATTTTCATCTTTATACTGCTGCAAATGTCTACCTACCAGTGACCTTCAAAGGAACTGACTTCAGTTAATGTAATTTTTCAAATAAACATTTTAATGGTAAATAAAATCTAAATAGTTCTGCTGAAAAAGCTGTGGCTTTCACAGCAAAACCTTCAGAAGAATTTCGTTTTCACCTTTTCTCAAACACGCCGGGATTATTTTCAACAATTTATAATGATTCAGTCTCCTTGGTGTTCAAATTATTCCAGGAAATTTGTACTAACTGCTGTCTGGACACTTATGATTTTGTCTGGTGTAGTTTTCAGAGAAAACCTTTTTAATTACATCTGTGACGTTATCTCTCCCACTCATGATGATATGAAATGTCCAGAGAATACAACTACATGATACTTCTCCGTATAAATATTTATCTACAATGGCTTTGAAATACTTAAAATTCCCCTAGTTGTGTGTCAAATCGAAACTAGTATCGTGTGGAATCGCAGTTCGCTACAATGTTCGCATACTGATTTTATATCTCAAAATATTTGCAGAAATTATTATTTCTCAATTTTTTTAACTTTCCGTCCATTTTTAAGAGATTAACACAACGACTTTGTTGGTAATGAAACAGTGTTTAACTATAGTTAAAGATTTATGGTTTCTATTTGTAAGAAAAAAAATTTGTATTCACTTTAAAAAACTCTATCTTTTTTTAAGACATTTAAGCTGTTCATGAACTTGAAACATTCGGAGAAAATGTTTTACGACAGGATAAAAAATCTGTTAATGTTTGTTTTTTAAATTTGTTTTTATTGACCCTAGAACTGTGCATCTAATTACCGTATCTTGTTCAAAGCATTTTGATGTTTTATGCATTCCATATTACCATTCATTTCAAAATCTTATGATGGTGTTGAAATTTATTCTGAATTCAACTTTAGCCCACTATAAGAAACTCCATGTTCGGACATTTGAAATTATATTTGCAGAAATCTGAGTAATACTGAAACAAATACTCCCTGTTGTTTTTGCGAAATCAAGATTCAATATGTCAGCTACATACGAATGAGAGGTCACAGCTTAAACTGACTTTTCAGTCTTCATGAATTAGTTTTTCTGTTATTCATGGTAAATAGTGTCTATACGTAGTCATATGCTAATCTCCAATGATAGTATCAGAACAAAAGTCACGTTTAAAAAAATTGTTGTAGTAAGGGAATCCATACTTTTTGAAATGAGCATATGAATTAAAATGAAATGCGTACATGAACAAGTCCATATCATTTGTCTGCATTTTTGAAATAGTCCGAAGAAATATATAATATAATAAGTCTTTATAAATTGTGTGTTGCTTGAAGTACCACCTAATACACCAATCTTTCAAAACCAGTTGCTTTAGCAAATGGGGATAATCAAGATAAAAATTAGATATGAATATTCCTGATACTTTAGCTGCGTTGGTGAATTAATGACTGAATGCTCTCCAGCCATCCGTATGTTACGAGTTCGATATCGTGCCAACGCACTCTTAAACCTTGCCTAATTAAGGGGCCGATAAAATGCTTGAAAAAGAAGGAAGGATAAACATGAATCTGGGGATTCTATGCCGTTAAAATAATGTCATCGCTTAGTAAAACTCACAGCGTGACGCACCGTGTGTCACTAGGATTGCATGTAATGTAGAAATTGCTGATACTGATCCGTTCTGCCTTTTTAATAACAGTTTGTCAGCAGCTAATAATACGTCATCCCGTATATTCAAGCTACGGCATTCACCTGTATTAATAGGACCTCTCCAGTTAACCAAAGCCTTCCTGTACAACCTTGGTATCCATTCGTACCGAATGCAGTGCCACGTCTCGTTTCTAATTCATAACTTAATACCTGAAGTTATGTTCTAAACTGAAAATAATAAAAGTTTACTTCTAGTTAAACCACATGAATGACTTTGTTATAAATTATATAAATTAATCCCAGCGTGTTAAGAAAATCAGATTTATTCGAATAAATCTGATGAAGAAGCTGTGGCTTACACGGCGAAACGTCCAGAAAAATCTTGTTTTGATTTTCTTAACACGCTGGGATTAATTTAAATAATTTATGATGAATCAATCTGACTCGGCGCTCAAATTATTCCACGAAATTCGTAACACCTACGGTCATGAAACCTATGAATGTCTTTGGTTAGCATTTAGTCTCAAGAAGTTGTCAGCATGAAAATGTGCAATTATCATAAATTAATATTCCGACATGCTAAATTTACATTCCACAAAGCTTTTCAAATTAATTTTCGAATACTTTAGAGTGAACTATCAAGAATACGAATCACTTACCTGGACATTCATCGAAAATACAATATGATGAATCTCTTCATTTAAACAAGCTATACAGGCCTTAATATTGCGTTTGAATTTCACTCAGTTAATTTAGTTATTTACCATCAGTTTAGTCATTGGGAAATCTAAATTTGCTCCGGCTCAATGAAAGGTTTATACTGCGATATCCTAAAGATTATTGGTACAGAACTTATATTTAATGAAGTGCAAATGGATCCGGGAAACAAAACACCAAGATTTTCTTTTACCTGTGTTGGTTTCCTGGGCCTCAAACCGATTTCATGTAGTTTAACTATTCTGAATTATTTTTATCCCATCCCTTGGTGAGACGTTGCATAGTAAAAATCATAATAATAATGAAGACTGATTCTATTCTAATTAATTCTTCATGATGTTTCTGATATGTACACCTATAAACTTTTCTGCAGTTTACAAAACGACCATGTGACATTATTTGGTTTTTATTCTTTAACCAGTTTCGGTTTGTAACTAGAATTACTTTATCCACTACGGATTTATTCATTGTTTTTATGTTCAGTTCTAATAATACGATATCAACTAACAACTGAATTTCTTTGTTTGATTTCTTTTCACCTCTTCACTTTCCAAATACTCAGAATCCTGCGAACTGGTGGTAATGTGAAACACAAATAAATAAAACAATTAGTCGTCTCTGTCACAAAGTATCAGTTCTATTATTATTATTATTATTATTATTATTATTATTAATAGTAGTAGTAGTAGTATTCATAATACCCCATATTAGTGCCCACATTTATAGAATAAAAAAATGTCTTTTTATGAAAGTCCAATACCGACAGTTAGGGTTCTTATTTACTCCTAAAGACTGATTTTCAGCAAGGAAATGAATGTTAAAATCACAGTATTAACTATTTTCTTCGATTATATAATTACGTGTAGATGGTAATTAAAAACACTGGAGAAATGCATACTTCCTAATTAATTATTATTTGAATAAGACAGAGAGCTAGAAAATTATCTGTGAAACAACATACACGTCAATTAGAATTGAAGATAAAAGCAAGTAAAATTCTGTTCCGAACTTTTCTGTCTTGACACTAATGACTACTCCACATTAACCTACAGAAATTGAATTTCTAGTATTATTTTTAAAGGACATTGAGTAGGTAGCCTTCTTTACAGAATAAAGTGCAACGAAACTAAATTTCAAGCTTCAGATAAATACCATAAGACCAAATATAACATTTGTTCTGAAGGATTGGTTCATTTATTTCAGATATCAATGTACTACTAGAACTTCAGATTACTTATATCTAAAAAGAACAGGTGATTCAGCATACAATGTCGGGTTCAGTATTACCAGTACTCTTTGTCACAAATATTACCTACACGTTACTCATCAAATAAGTGTCATTGAGAGGTAAAAATAAACCACATTACATCAACTTATTTTTTGGTAAGTATATAGTCGATAGAAGTTATCACATTTTAGAGATTGAATCAAATAGGAATTATTCATCTTGTTTTATTTAAAACTAAGTTGGTAATCATTTTATATTAGCTGCCACTGTCTATGCTTCGTAGTTTTCAAAAGCCTTTTTTCATTCCTGAAGAATAATAAAGGAGTTTACTTTCTTGATACAAAAGCCATCGGTTGATAATTTTTAGCTACTTATTGTAATAAGTTAAGCAACCCATCATTATTTTTATTTTTTCCTTCAAGTCCCCGGTGGAAAATAGGGCTTCAAGCTGGTGGCTTGAAGTTTCTGTATCAGTGTTTAATTTTACAGGATCGGGTTGCTAACTTTATGACCAACCTTTCCTCTTCACCAGCATTATTTCTGGCTTAGCGAATTAAAGGAGGGTGTCGGCCGGGGATCAAACCCTGGACCGTATGCGTGGTCGACGAGGGTCCTAACCGCTGTGCCACCAACTCACTATTTTTATTTTGTGAAAGGCTAATTATATCCAATTCCTAGGTGTTACAATTTAAATTAGTAGCTTTACTGGCTTTTTATTAACGTTCGATCACTTTTTCCTAGTCTTTTAGAAAAAAATAAGCGTCATCTCAGTATTTGATTCACAACCTATGATTAAAGTGTTTGTTGTTGTTACACTGTAAAATAAAGTATGTCATATACGTTTTAAATATATTCAGTCTTTCAAGTAGGTCGTATTCATAAGTTTAAGCTTCAAGTGCCTGCAGGAGTTCACATCAGATACAGCTTAAACAAGTAGAATTTTGAACTTGTAAAGTTACTAGTCACGTTTAAGTTGTACTAAGTGGAATATGCTAATTTTAGTTTCCATCATTTTGGTTAAATCCATAACATACGTGTGTTAATTGTCAAGATAAAGTATAATGACTTAAAAAATCCAAGCTATTCTAAACTTTATTTATTTTGTATCTAATCTCTTTCACATAATCTAGTAGTTTATGTATAACTCATTCGGTTTTAACAAAGTGGCTTACACTCAGTTTAGTGTGAAGTAAAGGAAGAGCAATTTCTATGCAACTGATAGCCATGTAATTTATTCAGATTTACAAATAATCTAAACTTGGCAAGTTAAACGTTGCATAGCAATCGAGTAAGAAAGGGAAATACTACTTATATAAAAGAAATGTGACTGATTTTATACCGCGCAAGTCACATTTGTCTTTGGAATAAAGAACAAAAGTAGACGGTATCACTGCATAATGAATGTCATTTCTTCAGAGGAATTCGTCAATTAAAGTAATCTGAATTTTCGAAATCTGTATAATCTTTAGGTTGAAGTGAATAAAAATGGTTACAGCTTCATTTAATTGTGGGAATTTGTTTATAACTATGGTAGAATAAATAAAACAGGCTTTTTTGAAATAACACGTCAACTTTAACAATGTTCATACACTTTTTAAAATTAGGAAGTAATTATTTTATATTATGCATTGGAACAAGAGACTGAAAGTGGCAATAAAACCAAGTTGTGACCAGAGATAACGTAGAATTTTGGTTCGCTCTGCTCACACTTCGAATCGCTACAGTGTACTATTGATTACTCGACTCCTGTCCCCGTAATGCGAAAGAAACGACAGACCAACTGGAGAGGCAAAGATTTATTGATGCAGGGAAAACTTGGTGTAACTAGGAGATAAAGCTAAGTGTATATTTATATAAGATAATCAATAAATGACTAGCTTAGGATATAAAACCTGTGTTTATACTGATTGATATGTGCCAGTAAAAATCCACTGAGATGGCCTTTTATTCTTCATAAGAGCCGAATGTTCAGTTTACAGACCATGTGAAAAAATACTGACTCGTTAATACATTTCTTTTCACACAAAAGAGGCTCAGTTTCAGTAGTGACTTATGTTTAGCACTAAGCTGTCAGTATGATTATCGCCTGACAGTTCTAATCAATTTTCACTATCACTTTTTTACTCTTGTTTGTTAGTAAACTTTGTGTAATGCGTGAACTGTGATAAAGGGATTATGTAAATTCATTTGTGAAGTCAGTTAGTTACACTGATTATTATTTGGTGAGATTTATTCAGATATTAAATAATAATCTTAAATCAGTGGCGTATAACTACGTTTCATACAACTTTTCAGTGAGTGAATGCATTTTCAAGTCATAAGGATTCGACAAACAAATAACATGACCATTGTTATCACCCCTCAGAATAACAGAAATGTTAAAACATGTACATTTTGATTTCAACATTATAGAGTGCTAGTTTTCAGTTCACGTTACACTTTAGCATTTGCAAATTATAAAATGCAAGCGTATCGTGATTGAAATAACAGCTAATCAAACGTTTTGACAAACGTTCTAGTCAGATTTCGTTACCCATCCAGTTAGGAGTGAGGATAAAGTTCCCGCCAGTGACACTGATTGGTGGCCGCGCTATAATCATGAGTTAGTAGAAGTTAGAATTCATGGGCAACTGAACCGCGTCCCAGTGGCTGAATGGTATACGAGCTTGCCTTTATAACCATAAGGTCTTTGGTTCAAAATTCATTAGGTGAGTTCTGTCTATCAGTTCTAAGCTGGGAAGAAACAGCTGTCCAGTACTTCCTGGTTTTCAATGGTTCTCTAATGGATATCAATACATGGTCAAACTCAAAAATCAAACCAAATCCTTGCAAATCAACTCTTGAAAAGCCGAATCATTTGAAAATATCAATTTCATGTGATTTGACTATTTTTCGTAATTCTTATCAAAATGAAACATATCATGCTTTTTCAAGCGTATGGTAAGCCTTATTTGAATAAGTAAAATTTGAATTAACCGTCGTTAGTTTCCAACGTTATACTTATTTTATCTTCTTATTATTATTTACAGTTTACTGAAGTTATTCTCAGCCGAAATTAGAGAAGTACGTGCAACAGCTGATTATTGGTCTAAGAAAACTACAAATCTGGAACGATCATATCATAATCTTCATGGCAAAGTGAAAGACTATAGAGCAAACGCTAAACAAAGTGAACAGGAGTATATAAGAGCTATGGAAGAACGTGAATACATCTTACAGAGTGTAAGTTAACACTGGTTATGTGTAATGTATTTAACTTATTTATAGGAGGAGAATTACATAAGAAACATTTTCTGACTTCTAAATGAAACACTGATTTAACATCAATGTTCAACGGTTATGGTACTGCGTGACCAGAAGTATTATTACGCTCCAAAATTGAACTGTTGACTGTTCTGAGTTCTCCTTCTGGCAACCCTGCTCGTAGGTGTTTGATATCTCATCTAGACAACGCCCTAATTCTACAATCTTTGTATTTAAATCCACAGGAGCAAGTAAATTGGTGAATACACACTGAAGTTGCAGACAGTAGTATCGTGTATTTGACATTTCGTTGAGCAGAAGCGTATGTAGAGAAGGTGAGGCATACTGATTCAAAAAACAACATTCCTCCCATAAGCCATATCAGCGTTACTTTGTCTAAATCTACTCATGAATACCAAGCAGGATCGAGCACATAATTACATCTAGTCACGAAGCACCAGCAGCAACGTTGATGAGAGCCACACGTAAACACCAGGCTGCTAAGACTCATTTTGCTTATATCTTCATCATCCAGCCAAAGCCCTAACAATACATAGGATAAAACCTGAATTTTACGTCCAGAAACGTTATATCCAGCCATTTTTACTATCTATCATAGCTCTAGTATCAATTTAATTTTCCCGATTTGTTGAATAACATATGGTCTTTTTAGTTTTTATCTTTTCCGTAACCTATTTTCAATTCTTTTGTACCACAGGAAGCATTTTATGTTGTTCTAGGCTTTCTGTAGAACGCATACTAACTTTTCTAAAATAAAAAGTCTTTTATTAGTATGGAAAGAGATAATAAGTTTATTGGTACTAAAACTGGTCAAATATCAGCTAACAACTTAATATCGAATAAAAACATCTACAAATTCCAGTCATTAAAATCAAAAAGATATTAAACAAAAGATTGTTTCAATGATTCATGTCATTTGACTAAAACAAAAGTTCGCTTAAATTACAGTAAAGCAGCTGTGGTAGTCTCTTCTGATCTGTATTTGCATTAATTTATTGAAATACACAGGGAGATCTTTTTTACTAGTGAGTTGAAACATTGCTAAATTTATATGGAATGATATCAAAATAATTTCGTATATATAGCGTGAAAAATTGCTGACAAGTTGTGGAAATAATTTCCTGCTTATTATTACAATAGTTGATGTAAAATAGAAATACTTTGAATAAAACAGGGACTGAAGCTTGAAATAATGAGTATACCAGAAAAAATCTTTAATAGAAGTGTTCAGAATCACTCACACGACTCCAGACAAGCATAATGAATGACACTAAATCGATATGAATTCGACCAGTTGGCTAATAGCAAGCGTTCTACACTTTCGTTGGTTTTGATAATATTACATCTGCCATGGTATCAAAAAAGTTTATCAAGGAGGATGTAATGTGATGAAGGATTGTTTTTGACATATGAAGGTGGTTTAAACTTCCTATTCTCTACGGTTTCCACAAACATTAGGACACGCCCTAAAATCGTCTTTTATATAGGTCAATAAGAGGTGTAAAAATCAGTTTAATCTCCCGCCTCTAGAATACTTATTTTATTTTTATTTTTATTTTTTTTTGATTTACAGCTTGATTCCACACTGTATTTTTTGGTACAAGTATGGAATTTTCAGCGTGGATATCGGTAGCCCAAATTTTGCGGGCCGACCATAGATATCAGGTGTGCGTCGGCGGAGGCTCGAACCTCGGACCATGTGCACGGTCGGCGAGAGTCCTAACCACTGTGCCACCGACGCACACATACGTTTTGCAATAGAGGAGCTAGGTTATCCGTTTTGCCCATTATTCGGTTTAGGGGATTCGATTTGCTTCTGAAGCCCCTACTTGCAAAGATTGATGTGTCCTCTCTGTCTGTGTATGACCAAAAGTACATATAAATTCGTGAATACAGTGGGATGTTACATCATTTTTGGATGTTCTCAGGGCTTACATGGATATGTAGGCTCCACATTATCAGCTATTCGGATATTAGCAGCGTAAAATGTTTTTTTAACTGCAGCGTTCAATTTTTGTTTAGTAAACAAGCTATGATCACCCATGTAGGGTAGCTTGATACACGCATCCTAAACAGCAGCAAGTTGGAAAGTCGATCTTCGTGTTCTGACTAATTTTAATTTCTCTCATGAATATCTCTGGATAATTATTATCAAACAGAGTTTCTGTCAGTTTTCTTTTCTTGTCTTTAAGTGTATCCTTTGTGCTTATTGATTAGATCCCACTAAATTCACCTAGCCTCTTTTGTGTCTAACAGGAGAGAAGCTGCTTTATTTGAGATACTCTCCTGTCCAAGTATGTTTTCCATAAACAGATTGTTGCACTCACCCATTAGGCTGTCGACTAAGCAGTATATCTAGGAAAGAACAGCAATTATCTGTATACTCCCAAGATGTAAGTGATGTCCTGTTTAGCACTTCATTTATTCTATCTAAAACGTAAGTGGCAGAACAGGGATGGTCACGTATGGTCAAAGCTCTATCAATATATCATATATAAAGTAGTATACTTTCAATTAGATCTTCTGATAATCTCTCAAAGTACGACAAAAGTTATCCTGTGGCAAGTGCATGAGTGATCAGACAAGTGGAAATGCTTTGCTCAAACAGACTACACAATTCATATAAATCACGCCTTCTTATTGTTTTGTCAGAATTCATTAAGGTAACTAATTGTTTTAGAATAAGATTATTTCCTACTTTGTTTTCATCATGTTCAGCTTCGGGAAGCAGAAGTACGAGAACAAAACTTGTCAAATTTACTTCAACGCGTTGAAGAAGAGTACAGCACATTATCAAGAGATATAAGGATTCTGGAACGGTCTCATGCTAAAAAAGATCGTCAGCTTCAAAATCTGTTACTGGAAAAGAATGAATTATCTCGAAAAATTAAACATTTGGAATCACATTTGCATAAACTGAAAAATCGATCTGAATACACTTATCGTCGAAAGTAAGAGGAAACTGATTTAATTAAAACAAATAATTCATCTTTTGATTCTCGGCTTAACTTGATTTTTTTCTTTGGGTATACTATGAGTGCAATGAATAATGAGAAGCTACTTGTCTAAGCTTTTCAAATGTTTTTACCTATTGGGTTATTTTACCTTTTGTAAGAAACAAAGTCACCCGAATGTTAAAATTCGCATGAATCAACTGTTTCACAAAGAATTGATTTGATTGTCTGAAATCTACGTTACTGGTGGTATATCAGAAGGTTTCTACCTCACATTCAGGAATGCATATACGCATAGTAGACAGTATGATTTTATCAGAAAACATAAAATGTAAAAGCAGGATTTGGCAATGAATGATTCCAAAATATGATTTGGTGTACGCAATTCAAGTACATGCATTATTTGCAAGTTAATGCTGTTACTTTTAGCTGTACATTACTGATCTGTGGATTGACCCAAATTCAAACAAGTACTTAGCACAGTTTCTAATACTTACAATGTCATGATCATTCTAAGCAGTAATTTAGTCCACCTCAATAGATTTAAAACTCAGTTTCTGTCCAGAGTCAAACCTTCAGGACACTAAGAATCGCTTTTAATTGTTATCTGCCTACAAAATATAGTCGTAGATGTTTTCTTCATAAATTGTCATGCATGCGAAATTAAAGCTTATTTTGTTTTATTAAAGCTGTTATCTTCATCCTCTTATTGGTAGAAACCCTGGTCAAACTGATGAATCAGTCGGTCGGTACCACAGTCAAGTAGGAGATGATTCAGAGTATGTTCTCAGTGATTTTGGCTCGCTAGATCGACACCCAAAAGCTTACACCACCATCACAGCAACAGAAGAAAGACGAATAAACAACTTGAACACTAATAGTCTAGATGATTCTGATAATTATATACCACAAAAATCAGAAATATTTAAACCAGGAGGATCTGCAGATATCATGGATACCAGAAAGCAGCATTTTAGTTTTAACCGACTTATGTCAGACTCTTATATAGTCCCAAAAACAAATGAGAGCACTATCAGCATTACGCGTGACACTAAAAATGAGGGTTTGCTTGAAGGCAACAGTATTGAGTTTTCACCAGTAAGGCATCAGCAAAACGAAGATCATTTATTGAGTCAGCAGCAGCAACAGTCAAATGAAAAGATTGCAGATAATCTCTCTGACACATTGATGGACATGAATAATTCAGTAAGACATGACGAAACGGAAATAGAGAATCAGCAGCGTGATTTCACAGATACTGCTCACCGAAAGTGGAGTAATGCATCAGACTATCAATATCACTCTAACCATCAGCAACTACAAGCTAAGGGAGTCAAAAAAGATGTCCTTTCTGCTGAAGATGACTCAATGAAACATAGATCCCAAGTACAAGTTGTTATTGGACCGTCTACGTCGAATGAGAAAAGACAAAAAACTGTACGAGCCAGTAACATACATAAGAAATATGCTTACAAGAAAGGTAAGCCCATAATTCTGGTGAATGCTCTTTAAAATGTTCAAAATCAACAACATTGACTTCCTTCTCAGTCAGCCATTTGTGCCTAAATAGCTTGTGTCCTTAGCAGTAGCTAGTCAGTATTTATCTTATAATGACAGGTTACTTTTTAGATCAGTAGTAACGTATTAAAAATGTAATGCTGTTAACTGATGGGTATTTTGTTCATACGAGGATCAAAGTAGCTCACACTAAAAGAAAAAAATAGTAGTGAAATTGTTGACCATAGCACAAACAAAGAATTTGAGGCATCTAGTGTTTTACCAAATAACATATGAAACCCTATGTAGGATTCTGAATAAAGCAGGAATAAGGGCGAAAGTCGTGCCTACATAACTAACTCAGGGACAAACCCCATTGTCTAAAGTACTACACTGTCCCAATTAAACAAAATAATCTTATCTACAAAATTTCTGACAGTGACTGTAGGATTGATTACATGAAGTTCATACCAGTAGGTGGAGGTCAGTCAGATTATTAATACATAGGAATTTACCTAAGTGTAAAATGACCGAACCCAGAAAAAGGGAAAATCTTAGAACTCTCGTGCATGCACTGACACACAGTTACCCATTAGGGTGAGACGGCTTTAAAAATCAATATAATTAGGCGGAGAGGGATCTTAGTTCATCAATTTACACATAACATGCGCAATAGGTCTGAGGCAACTCCAGTTTTAGAAATATAAAAATAATTAATTCTAATAAAATCGTAAGTGGCACAGTGGTTAGGACTCTCGCCGGTCATGCACATAGTCCGGGGTTCGACCCCTCGCCGACGCACACCTGATATCTATGGTCGGCCTGCGAATTTTGAGCTACCGATATCCACGCTGAAAATTCCATACTTGTACCAAAAATACGGTGTGAAATCAAGCTGTAATCAAAAATAAAAAGAAAATAAAAAAATAAATATAAACACAGATTGGAAGTTAGGTCAAAGCCTTGATAAGATTACGGGGAGTATTTGTGCAAAAAGGGTCGCCAACTTAACTAGCTCGCTAGTTATCAAGCAAGTCTCAATCCCGGGAAAAGAGGAAAGATTGGGTGTAAGGTTAGCAATCAAAAACCACTAAATTTTCAATATAATTCCAGCATCTCAAGGTTTCTTACATTATTGAATCTGACAGTCTAAATTGTTCGAAAATTATTTCCTGCATGAAAATCAGTCGAAAGTGAATTAATAGCAAGAACCAAATATTTTGCTGAAATACGACCTTACAGTTTATTCCAATTAAATATTCTCACAAGTCAAAAATGTCAGTTATTTTACATGTCTCGTGCGTCGGTGGCACAGTGGTTAGGACTCTCGCCGACCATGCATGTGGTCCGGGGTTCGAGCCCACGCCGACGCAGACCTGATATCTATGGTCGGCCTGCGAAATTTGGGCTACCGATATCCACGCTGAAAATTCCATACTTGTACCAAAAATACGGTGTGGAATCAAGCTGTAATCAAAAATAAAAAAAAAAATAAAAATAAATGATTTATACTGATGCTGGGCCATATGCTTTAGAATCTTTCATATTCATCAAAATATCATATCGGAATAAAGACGTTAGTTTGTCGTTTAAACACCTTCCTGAACTTTGACAGTTATTCATGAACCAACAATTAAAATTCTAAATGAAATTTACTTATTGATATAAGTAAACAACTTGGGCTCTGTGGTAGAGCGTAACTTCATTATGGATATATTAAAATTACTGTACAACACTGTGATTTATCAAAATAAAATCTTATCCATAATGAAATTTACTTATTTAAATTGTTCAGAACAACCAAACCTAGCCTAGTTAACTAGCTTGCTAGTTTTCTAGCCAGTCTCAATCCCGGGTAAAGAGGCAAGATTGTGTGTGGGGCTAGCAACCCCACAACAATAAATCTTTCAAAACTCTAGAGAAACGTCAACATGCAGAAAATACAAACAACATGCAAAAATACGAACACTTCAAATACAAATCTTATTCTTCGCTCGAATCGGAGAAGTGAAGTGACGCGGGCTGGTGAAAGACTTCGGGAAGGCAGTCAGCCAGCCGATTTGTCTTCTCTCGGTGAAATCAAGAGTAATAATGGGTACGTGGAATGTCCGTACAATTTACGAGACTCAGAAGGCTGCCAAGGTAGCTAAAGAGATGCGAAGATATGGATTAGAAGCACTGGATATCTGCGAAAGCAGATGGAATAGATGTGGATTGATAGCATTGTCAACGAGAGAGTCAACAATCTACTCCGGTCACCCAGACGACAACCACGAGCACACTGAGGGAGTGGTTGTCATGATGTCACCATTGGCAGCCAGAGCCCTAATGCAGTGGGAACCAATCTCCTCCCCCCCCACGGTCATGACAGTAAGATTCAACTGAAAAGGAAGGAAGGTCACAATTATCCAATGCTACGCACACTGCTACAAACAACGTGGAGCAAGAGAAGAAGGAAGAGTTTTACAAATAACTACAAACAGTAATGGACAAGATGCCAAATGGTGACATCAAAATCCTTATGGGCGATATGAATGCCAAGCTGGAAGAAGATAATACAGTAAGAGAACTCATCGTGAGCCGAGAGGCTCTCGAAGAAATGAATGACAATGGAGAAATATTCACAGACTTCTGCGCTCTCAGTGATCTGGTGGTCAGAGGGAGCATGTGTAAACACAAGGATATACACAAAGCAACATGAGTTGCGCCAGACGAACATAACACAAACGAAATAGATTTCATATCCATCTCAAGGAAGTGGAGACGCAGCTAGTCTGCTTGATACAAAGTCGAGAAGGGGGACAGATATACGCTCAGACCGTCATCTAGTTCAAGGAACCTTCAAGGTGAAGCTGAAATCCATGAAAACAAATGAGGACAGACCACAATTCAAGTTCAACAATCAGAAATTGAAGGACAAAACTACAAGGGGTGCCTTCGCTTCAGATATCAGAGCAAAGTCGGACACACTACGTGGTATCACTGAGGAAACCTGCGTGGAAGAACATTGGAACTCTCTGAAGGCGATATTTAAGGAAATGTGTACAACTGTTCTAGGAAGAAGAAAGAGACATGACAATGAATGGCTCTCAACGGAAACCTACCTGGAAGCTAATAGAAAAGAGGAGAATGGTGAAAGAGAAGATGACTCAATGCACTGATGGACAAGAGAAGGAGAAGCTGAGTTCAATGTACACTGTACTCAATAAAGGAGTGAAGAAGATTGCTAAGAAAGACAAAAGATGACTCTACGAAACGCTGGCGACTGAAGCAGAATATGCGGGCCGCAGGTGAAAGAGACGTAAGGACATTATATCAGATAACCAAGTCTCTATCCGAGAAGAGATCAACCCAGATGATGAAACGAATAAAAAATGCTCAAGGGAACCTAATTACCAAGGCGAGAAGACAAGTAAAACAATGGGCTGATCACTTTCGAGGACTCTTGAATCGACCATCGCCTAAAACTCGCCCAAAAATACCACTGCCACCAAAACAACGCACAGAAATGCCTGCCAGTGGACACCGCTCCTCCAATTAAAGAGGAAATCCTGAGTGCAATCAAGCTACTGAACACCGGCCTGGAAGGTGGCAGTACCAGATGGCAACCCCCCACCCCAAAGCACTGAAAACGGACCCAGAGACTGCGGCAGATGTGCTCACATCATTACTCCTAAAGGTTTGGAAAGAAGGAAAGGTGCCTACTGATTGGACGAAGGGCTACCTCGTCAAACTGCCAAAGAAAGGCGACTTAGGCCTGTGCAAGAAATGGCGTGGAATAGTGCTCTTGTCCACGCCAAGTGAAACATTAAGTCACGTCGTCCTAGAGAGACTGAAACATTTGCTGGATGAAGAAATACAACGGGAATTAGCTAGATTCAGGAAAGGCAAATCGTGTGCTGATCAAATTGCAACTCTACGCATAATCATCATTGAACAAAGCATAGAATGACGATCAAACCTCTACCTCAACTTGGTTGACTTCGGAAAGACCTTCGACAGAGTCGACCGAGAAGTACTTCAGAAACTACTTCAACACTACGGCGTATGTCAAGTCTTTGTCAACCTCATTAAGCAGCTATATAACAATGCCACGTTTCAAGTGATCCACAACAAAACGTCTCAGAGAGGCGTTCAAAGTGCATACAGGAGTAAGACAAGGCTGTCTATTATCACCGATAATATGTCACGTAAACTCGAAGATTTGCAAGCGAAAACCAACAAACTGACTGAAGAGCTGGGAAAAACAGGACTGCAGGTGAACACAGAGAAGACAGAGGTGATGAAGATAACCAATCAACAGCAACAACAACCAGCACCAATCTTCATCAATGGGAGAGGTTTAACAGAGGTTGCCTTCTTCACTTATCTGGGAAGTACCGTTTCAACTACAGGCGGAACGGACGGGGATGTCAAAGTGAGAATCGGAAAGGCAAGATACGCCTTCATCAACCTGAAACCCGTTCGGAAATCTTCCGCACTCAGCAAAAACAACACGATTCGGATTTTCAACACCAATGTGAACTCGGTTCTTCTATATGGGTCAGAAACTTGGCGTTTCACGAAAAAGATTTCCAACAGGTTGCAGACTTTCATCAACAGCTGCCTCCTTCGCTGGCTCCATACTGAAGATCCAATGGCCAGAAAGAATAGGAAACAAGAAACTCGGGCTGGGAACAAACCAACCAAGAGCCGATCGTCCAACAAATATGTAGGAGAAAGTGGAGGCGCATCGGGCATACATTGAGGAGGCCGCCGAATGACATCGTACGCCAGACCCTCGAGTTGAATCCAAATAGGAAGCGAAGAGTGGGTCGTTCTAGGATGACATAGAGGAGAACGTGTGAGGAAGAGATGGGAGATTTTTGTCAATCGTGGACCCAGCTGAAGCGGATGGCAGGAAATAAAACAAAGAGAAAATGTGTTGTTGAAGCCCATGCTCTAATTGAAACGAAATGCAATCATAATAATAATAATAATAATAGAAATAATTTTTGCACGAAATTTTTAATGTAAATAAAGCTGAATCATAATGTATTTTCAACTTCATCGACTTTGAAAAGGCCTTCGACAGCGTCGATCGAGAGGTCATTTGGAAACTACTTCGCTACTACGGGGTCCCATCGACAATTATACACCTCATCCAACAGTTATACGACAATGCTGCATGCCAAGTAATCCACAACAGGAAACTTACGGAAGCCTTCGAAGTGAGGACGGGGGTGAGGCAAGGCTGTCTACTATCACCAATGATCTTCCTGATTGCAATCGATTGGATAATGCGACAGACAACGTCAACCAACGAGGGAACAGGCATAAAATGGACTGACACAAAAGACTTGGAGGATCTGGATTTCGCCGATGATATATGTCTGATTTCCCATAAACTGGAAGATATGCAAATGAAAAGTAACAAATTGACAGAAGAAGCATCAAAGATAGGACTTCACGTGAACATAGATAAAACAGAGATGATGAAGATTCCTAGCCAACATCAACAGCAACAACAGACCACAATAAGCATAAATGGGAAGAACCTGAAAGAAACAACCTCCTTCACCTACCTGGGAAGCATCGTCTCAACTACAGGCGGAACTGATGAGGACATCAAAGCCAGAATCGGAAAAGCAAGACAAGCTTTCATTACTCTCAAATCTGTGTGGAGGTCAACAGCATTCAGCATCAAAAATAAGATCCGGATTTTCAACTCCAATGTGAAGTCAGTGCTACTATACGGATCAGAGACTTGGCGAGTCATAAAGAGCATCTCAAACAAACTTCAAACCTTCATTAACAAGTGTCTCCGCTCAATACTCAAGATCAGATGGCCAGAAAAGATCAGCAACAGGGATCTCTGGGAGCGAACCAATCAGGAACCGATTGTTAAACAAATAGGCAGAAAGAAATGGAGATGGATTGGCCATACGCTGAGGAAACCAACAAGTGACATCACTAGACAAGCCCTCGAGTGGAACCCGAAAGGGAGGCGGCGAGTTGGTCGTCCAAGGGTGACTTGGAGGAGGTCATGTGAAGAGGAGATGAAAGCATGTGGGCAGACCTGGAGCAGGGTGAAAAAGTTGTCAAAAAACAGAAGTCAATGGAGGTGCGCAGCTGAAGCCCTATGTTCCTCTAGGAACTAAAGGATACAATAATAATAATAAATAATAATAATAATGTATTTTCACGAAATGGAACCAGTTTGCAGTGGAATCTCCTCAGTAATGCATAATTTGACTGTCGCAGGTAACTCATACGTGTCAACCTTTTTACTGCATTCAACTCTAGCAACATTTATGTGTATCCCATTTTTGTTTGTGCATTATTTTGTTCATGCTCACGTGGAATCGTTAAAACTCTGAGTGATTTCTTATGAGCTACATAAAATTCTACGTCTGCAAAATGCCTAAACGTTCCACGCAGTATTTGCTTATAATTTATATATTCCACGTATAAAGGATTTCAGTCGGCCATTGACAGATTAATCATAGAATTTGGAAATCATTGTTTCCCCCTCAAATATACTTTCTCTATTCAAAGTATTATTAATTGATATACTCACATTATTCAAAAGCTGCTCATGTATCGTAATTAGAGTGTGTCTAATAATGAAGCAACCTTCATTATGCAACATATATACATAGACTCTGTCTTCTACAGCAGTCTTGAAATAGTGTGAATTTCTATCTAACCCTTTCTATTTGTATATCATTATAGATTACTGTGAGGAATTCATTTTCAAATCAGTAGTTAGTTCAGCATTACGAATTTGAGAAAATATTATAATCTTCTAAATAATGACTAGTACTATTGTTAGCGTCGTTTTCTTTTTTAGTTTTTAGTTCTGCACCTTAATCTCCAAGCAGTTGCCGCGCGATTGTAGTAGGAGTATATAAAATCTACTTGCATCCACTATTATATTTGCTCATTTTCTAGTAAAATTTATGCACACAATATTTTTAAACAACTGTTAACGTAGTTGTTGAAAATAATAAGGTATTCTATTGTTTGACTTCAGTTCACGACCAGCCAGTATTGCCATCTGTGTTCAGTGGTCATGGTCTTCGAGTCAATAGACATCGCCCAGCCTCAGTTTCTGGTTATTTAGACGAATACGGTCTGAACAGACCATATGACTTGTATCCTGCCTCGTCTTCAGCCAGACCAAGCACAAGCTTTGGACAGTTTTATAATACTAGACGTTTTAAATCATTGGACAGAGACTGTTACACTTCATGTCAAAATTTAAGCTCAAAACCCTACTCAACAATGAAAGTGATTCGTCCGTCAAATCGACAGGCTGTTATGTCACATTCCCTTTTCGACCGTCGTTTTAGAGATGGGCAGCATTCAAATTACTTACGACACAGTAATCGTGGTGATAGCGAATTTGAACGACCACGCATGCCTCAGTCATATTCGACGCATCATTTAAAAATTCCAGAGAAGGTAAGCTGATCCCTAAGACTACTTTTACGTTCACAAAATTAAACGCTTCCCATTACGACACTGTATTGATAAAATTGGGTTTTCATTGTGTTAAAGATTCAAGGAAATCTAATGCAACACACCCCAGTTTGAAACAATGATGTCACAGAATACGCTTAATATGGATTTCTACACCTCAGTCTGATGGCTCAATAAATCTTAGTATCTGTTTTCATTTGGCAGTGTTACATGATAGACTATATAGAAAAGTAAAAATATATACATGCTCACATGACAAACTGTAACTAACCAACATGCTGAAATTTATAAAACTCCCATGGTGGATAAGTTTACGTTTACTATAGTTAATCAGTGTTTACTTCAACAGTATATTGCTGTTAATTCAATTACAAGTTTGGAAGAGTAAATAGTTGTAAGACTTAAAGTTGAAGGTGTATCGACGTTCAACAATCTACTTTAAGTAAATGTAGAAAACATTTTAGTGAACACAAGGTTTTAAACAAAAACACCTTTTGTCACTCTTCATTGATACTAATATGATCATTTACATCTCCATTTTAGAAGTCTGAAAAAACTTTAAGCAACTGAAATACTATCTACAATACTTTTTATTCCTTGGCATAAACCGTACTGATTGTCAAATTGCCTTTCAATACTTTACAAGTAGTGAGAAGATGTGATTTCCAATATGTTTTCGACTCTAACAGATCAAGATCATAAAATTCCCTGGATTCTCGGTAGAAGTAATTTATATAATCATAAATGGATGATAGAGGCAACTTGACTCTTAAGCCTTCGCAACTTAAACATACATAAACTGATAACTGAGTGAATCTGAATTTATACTGATATATTGAAGTAGGGGTATTTTAAGTAAAAATCGAAATCCTGTCAAATATACAGATAGGTATAGGTACACCTTTATGATATTAATCTATAATTCAGTACTACATATTATTTATTTACTAGTTTATATACTTTTATTAAGAGTATGTTCATACACATGCATGTATTTTACTTTACTCATAAAATTACATTTATCACAACGGGGATGTTTACTGGACTTATATGCTTTGTTTAAATGCACGAATTCTAATGTTGCTGTTAATGAAAGAATGAGTTAATTTTCATCAATTCATGTGAAAATATCAAAAGTTCTCATCGAACAAGGTAAAGAAGAATGACAGTTAGATAGAAGTTGGTAGTAGTATTAGTTTCTGTAGTATAAGTAGTAAATGGTTATGATTATTTTAGTACCATTATTTGTAACTACTTTTATGGTAGTTATAATAATTATGTTAAATATTCTGAATTAAAGCTAGTTTGGAAATGCGCCATATTTCTTTTACCTTACTTTATGGTTATTATCGATGATATTATCTAAGTGATAATCACAGTTTAGAAGAATTGAAAGCAAATGCTTTTCTGACTTTTCTAAAATATATTCAGACTGAACTTATATTTATAAATTATACTTTTATTCCGCAGTATAAGAATTTAAGTAATCGATAACTTTTCGCGCCATACTTCGTTTAAATCACTAAACATAGTATATTTCCAAACTTCACATTACCTGTTCAAGCATATATTTTACAGTTGGTTGTCTGAGCTCTGTGTTAAAGAAGCTGACTAAGTGAGGGCAACAAACTTGTTTATTTCGCGATGAATGATGGAATACCTACCTGATATGTCAAATATGCACTCATCTGTATTTCATACAACTGTGAAATTTTGAATTATTATCAAATCTATTGTTGTCAACTAGTAGATTTGTTAGGATTAACATTAGTGTCGAGATACATTTCACCCAGAATGAATCGACCATGTAAAAAGACGTTAACGTTAACTTAGATATACTTATCACTTGTCTCATCTTATATTGAAACTATTTTGTTATGCCTACCAGTGACCCACTTATTGATCAAACTCAATGCAGGAAGAAAGTGTTACTAATTAAACAGTAAACTTAGATTTACTAGTTAGTGGAACAAGCAATGCAATAAAGGTTTTCAATAATAAGCATCGTTCCAGCCACAGGTGGAACGGATGAAGATGTTAAAGTCAACCGAATTCAGAAAGGCAAGAAATACCTTCATTAATCTGAAATCACTCTGGAAATCTTCCGCACTCAGCATAAACAACATGAAGTCAGTAAATTGTTCTGTATTCGGTCAGAAACATGGCGCATCACGAAAAGCATTTCCAATTGGTTACAGACTTTCAATAACACTTGCCTTCGGTAGCTGCATTTCGAAAATCAAATGGCCAGAAAGAATTAGCAGCAAGAGACTCTGGGGACGAACAAACCATAACCTGTTGCCTGACAAATATACAGGAGATAATGCAGATTGATCGAGCACATTCTGAAGATACCGTAAAATGACTTGGTGCACCAGGCCATCGCTGGAGTGGAACAACAACAGGAAGCGACGGACAGTTAGTCCTAGAGTTACATGGAGGAGATCACGCGCGGAAGAGATAGGAGACTTTGGGCAATCGTGGGGCCAACTGAAGAGGATAGAAGAAAATGAAAGAAAATGGTGATGTGTTGTTGACGCCCTATGTTCCACTCGGAACCCAAGAGAAGAGTAATGATCATAATAATAATGATAATAATAATAATAACAAGCTCAATAGGTTTTGCAGGATAGTGAAGTATATGAACTAAAAATGTGTTCGTCTGTTGAAGGCGCATGCTATGATTTTGATTTAACTGCCACTTTAATAATATTATGAGCTTCTAACATCCATTGCTTTCGTGGTGTGTATGTAGGAAATCTGAATTCTCAGTCTACCGATCATTTATCATTCAATACTCCATACCTTTATTCTGTTTGACTGGTTAAAGATTGTTTGAGGTGATATTTAAGAGCATACCTACAGATTCATACAAATATAGTAATTAATAAGCTGTATATTAAAGGTTTGCCTGGTTAATGAACTTTATAAACTTTCAGCGGCTTTGGTCTATAAAATTTAGAATAACAAATACCTGGTATAAATTAAACGTTGTTCAAACCACTCTTTCAACACCTTCGATGGGTAACTACACGATGGCTTCTTAGAAACATTAAAAAATGATTTTCTGGATACTCTTATGTTTGTATTTCTGTGTATGACCGGAGCTTTGATCACTAGAATTACATGAGTACCTTTATTATTTTTTTACAGTAAGTAAAGTCTTAATTTCAAGGTGAAAAGTATTATGTAGGTAAATCCATTTGAGAAGTGTCACTTATAGAATCCAAATGTGAGTTGATAAAAAATAATCCAGTGTACTAAATAATTTTCCCCGGATGATAGTTTGTTAGGATGTAACTTTCAGGAAAATATGATGTCTCATTTTAACAAACTTCTAAAGTTCTCAGAAATACCAAAATCACCTTTCATCAAAACGAACGTCTTCAATTGAACACACTTACTTTGAAGTACCAGGCACTTTGAGGTTGGCAGACACGAGTTCAGATACTCTTAAATGCGAAATTTTATCAGAGTAGTGCACGTCTTATCGACATTCAACTTCATTTATTCTGTTTATATACCGACCAAACTATTCATAACTGAGGTAGTATTTTATTGGATCATTAGTCTTTGCAATGCAAAATGTATAATTACAGATATGTAACGTCATCAAAGAAATGTATTACTTCTAAACTCTACATTTTGAGACAGTAGGTATTTATCAGTGGTAATATTTAAGTATTCTGCACAGATGTTTTACCACCGATATTTACACCAATGAATATATAAGTACAATGTGACTTTCGAATTCACTTTATTAAGTTAGTAGATCAATGGCTTAGGGGAGATCTGACTGTTTACTATGGTAGATTTATGTCATGACTGGATGGAAGAACCATGATATTTTTTCCATTTATTTTTGAGAATTTGAGAAAATCAAATTCTTCTTTTAAAAATCCCACATCTTTAACTTACTTTGAATTACGGATAATACGAAACAGCTTTAACAAGAAACATGCAAAGAAATTTCTGAGTAGGTCAATGAAAATGAGATTAGTTCAAATTCCTGGGCGAGTTTAATATTGAAAGCTCTTCGTTATATCTAGATTTTTATGAGGAATCTCTCACGTTCATGTGCATTATCGTTGTGTCTGATCAGATTTCTTTTCTCGTAGTCCATGAATGTCAAGTATTCAAATGGAGTTTAAAACTCAATTAATTCACTGATTTCTTATACACAGACTGAAATAATTCTTCGACTTCCGACTAAAAGTCGCATATTTTCTCGAAAAAAATGTTCATTAACCTACTAATATCAAGTTTATCTTGGAGAGGGTTTTCAATACCTGAAAAATGAACATTAATTTTGTCTACTTACCATTTTGTCATTCAGTTTTTACTGTGAAAGTCTTATACTACTAACAGTAACTAAACGCAAATTGTGGAATTTATCTCAAGTAAATGCATGCACCAACTTCCTTTGGTACTATGTGTAAGTAACTATGTCTATGTAAGAAATATAGCATTTTACGGTGTGAAGTAATGTAAGTCTAGCACTTGTTTGAATAACTCAAAGGTGAAAAGGTCTGTCTACTTAAAACAAAGTCAGTAGGCTACAGTATTTCTGTTAATTATACAGTCACCTACATATTTAACCTTACGCAATTCCAAACCAAATTTTTAACTAGGTCCCCCAATTCAACCATCGATATAAAGTCTGGCGTTACGGCAGTATACTCTAGGTAAGAAATATTGGCACAAATAATTACTTTATTGAGTCAAATACTTTTATTAACTAGCTGCGAAATCTCTGACAGTTGCACTCACAAAGTAAATATGCTTTAGCCCACTATGATTTTCAATAGGTTCATTAAAATTTAATGCGTAACAATTGAGTGTTGGTGGTTAACAGATGGTAAAATTAGTGTTGAACCTTTAGTCCATCGTAGTCGATGGTAGAGACGAAGCAAGAAGTTGGTCTTTTAGATCACCTAGTAAAATGTTGAACAAGTGAAGTGGAAAATACTATTTATCTATCTGTACGGAAGTAAAATTTTCTTCCAACTGTGAAGTTAATCCGTGAATTCACTAAGTAGTATGGTACTTCAGTGCGATTTCATTTATCGTAGACCTGATATTTATTATTTTTTTTTGAAATAAATACGGTGGTGTTTCCATGAATTCAGGTGTCCTTCTTCTTCTATATCTTTTCCAGCATTAGCTTGCGCGATGAAAGTTTCATTTTTCTAACTTTCAGTTTTTTCAAACAATTAATTGTTTCACTGTTTCTGTTTATTTTTTTCTCACAGAAATGTTTGGAGAGTAGTTTAGATCAAATCAACTATGAAGTAGATCGTCTGCGTGATTGCATAAAATTATTGTCGCCATAATAAACAAAGTGGAATAATTACATTTCCATCATTTACATGTGAAAGAATAATTTTGGTTGTTTATTGTTTAACTTTATACGTGACAAATAAATTCCTAGTCTTTATAATTGAATGAAAAACACTTGACATTTTCTGCACTAAGTCATTTAACTTTGTTACCTTCCAATAGCTAAACAGTTTCATTAGAATAAAAATCATTTGGCTCCCTTTTAAAAAAATAATTTCATACCTTTCGCAGCTACAGCTCATTTTACAAGAATAAAATGAGATATCTTAGACAAAAGCTTTTTCATTAAACACTAAGAAAAATAAATGTAAAGTTGTACACTTTACACTAGTGTATGCACAAATTCATATATATGCCTACATATCAAGGGAAATACTCTCTTATTTTGTTATGATCTACTTCGTTTACGAATCAAATATGGTTTTGATTATTGTCAACTACTGTATTTAAAAAAACGTTTCATTCAATCAGCCTAAACCTTAACTCTACAATATTTTGTTGCTTTTAATTTCTATTCTTACTTCGAAAATATAAGCTTTGATGAAAGTTATTTCTACGACTTTTCTGAATAGTTACTTCCAGTTTCAGTTAAACGAAGGATTTAGCAACATCCGGAGTCAGTTCTAACCTGCAACTCTGAGACAGCTTATCCTTCGATTTTAAAGATCTTAATATGATTGAGACCAAGGACGACTTTCACGGCTTTCTGTTTTCTTCGTAATATCACATTTCTAGGTGAATTCGTCTTATGGAACACGGTGGTTTATTGATCTACCTGATATTTTGTTACTCACCTCAACTCAGCATGATCATAGGAAAATCAGTAAGCATAAGCACTTTCAAATCTCTCAGTGCTTTTTAGCTGCAGCTCAACGAGCAGATGAATCACGTGCTTTCAGTGTAAGTAGTAAAATTGTTGGTCTCAATGCAAAGTGAATGTATATTAAATTTACACATTCTCTTTTGAGTGAATTACGATATGCAGTACTGTCTGTAGAAGTGTAATGGTTGGAAAGCATGTCAGATTTTTTCACCAAGATGAAAACTACTATCTGGTTATTTAAGTCCAAGTCTCTTTCCTACATATTTTAACTACTATGAAACAAGATTAAAATGAATTGCAAAAAATATATTCAGAGTAACTACCATCTGTGTTCTCTTTATATCATAGAAGGACGTTGATCATCACCTAAGTCACATGTTAGTCGTTGTACTACACAAAATACAAAAACAAATCACTCATCAGGCTCTCCATCGTCCCCTTCACTACGTAGTTCAAAACATTATGCAATATGTGTCATAGACATCATTTACCGACAGAGCTTAGATTACGCAGACTATAAGAGGATTTTACAAAATCGCTGTGATCAAAATCAACCCGTAAGACATTCCACTTTCATTCACACTAGATTTGACTGATAGACAGTTGTAATAACTCCCCTTACTGATAACTTGACTGGTCGACAAGATTTATGAAGTTAGATTAAATAAAATCTGTGAATTCAGTTTAGTCTAAAGCATGTTAATATCTGCTTCATGTATCATGCATCTCATTCAGTAACCAGGGTCCACGCAACCATGAACAAATAATGCTACATGATGACTATATTGTCCGAATCGAATTTTGAAATTTTGAAATGTAACGGTGACTTGTAGTTTCTGAGAAATACTACACTGGCAATTAATTATCTTCTTTCTACAGTTTGCTCGAAAATATGGGGTTTTTAGGATAGTATATCGTATTTTTAGAAGTTTAAATGAAAATGTTTTTAAACACAGAAAACATTCACGAGAAGCTGAAGCGTAGACAAAAAAGCCCGTGCGAGAATGAAATTTTAGCTCTGCGATACGTCTAATTCTGTAACAGAATAATTTAATATAACATGTATTGATACAGTATTATTTACCTATTGATGATATCTCGAGCGGAACTTATTGTTCGTTATCTTATAAAGGTAATATAATTATGAGCAGTGAAATATGTTCGTGACATCTTAAGTTAATAAATAATACTGTATCAAAAACATTTCCTGTTATGGAATAAAAACAACTGTCTGTAAGAACCAATTACACCACTATACAGATTTGCACTCATCCTGTTTTACAGAGCGAATCAGAATGCATTCTGCTATACAAATTTACAGAAATCGATTTCGTTTTAGTGGTCGAATAAAACCCAAACATTTTGTCACAATTCAACCTTATACACAATATATCGCAGGTCGATTAGTTTTCTGAACATCTCCGCTTACTAATGCTGTGACTAGTTATAATCTCTAAAACAACTTTTCTTTTACATTCTAAAAACGTGATATAGGTCTGATATAGGTCTTTTTCCAGCAAACGATGATTTCCCTTAAAGTCAGGCTATTTATTCGATATAACACACAGTGATACTTTAATAACTTCTAAATATCTATTGTTTTTATTACTTATATGTGAGCAATCACATGATCACCTGTATTGATTCGATATTGATTTGCCAGACAAGCAGTCAGTCTTTTTACACCTAACCATACTTAACTCTAATAATGTCTTCTTATCTCACTACATAGGATAATTATTAGTGGATGCAAATGTTATAAAACTGTACTGTTCATTACTCGACCAATTTATATTTGACTGAATTTTTGCATTATGATTTCCTGAATGACCTTGATCGATAACTATGAACTATTTGCTTGACTTTAAATCCATCGTAAGGTGTTAGGTATACAAATTTTTCATACCTAATTTAGTTTAAAGTCTACTTCTGTTCGCAAAACTTTTTACCGAATGTTTGTTTGTTCAAATTTCGTCCTAACGGTAGGTTTTTCAAGCATTCTATTTAGAGTCTCGAATGACTTGCTTTTACATAGTGCACTACAAAGTTAGTGAATCAACTGTCATTAAAATTTTCATATTAGCAAAGAAACTGCTCAGTGGCAGACCACAGAGATCATAATGACAGAGAATATCGCTCACTAAATGATGGGTGTGAAGCGATGCGGAGACATCAAATATACTCTAATTCAAAAACTCTTCAACGTCACACCAGAAACGTCATCGATTCTATAAGTTCACGTATATTTGAATTGCAAAGAAACATATCACAGCGATCTGCCGCTCTTTGTGAATTATCATCCTGTGAGAGGCAATCGTTCGATGAATACGTTACTCTGGTGCAGAACAGAAGAGCGGAACATGTTAAGTCAGATCTAAACAAAAGTTTGAAGGCCGTGGAAGTCCAAAATAAATTCCCTAGTGATTCTAATAAATTTGTTTTCAATCAGTCTTCAGTTCCGTTATCAAAGGTACAACTAGAAGCTTATCTCTTGGACTAAAATTCTGTGATGTTAATCTTAACAGCAACAGACTTCATACGTATATTCAATTCGAGAACCTCATAAGCCAAACTCATGATATTACTCCAGTCTCCGACGCTGTAATCAATATCTCAGTTTAAAAACTCAAGCTCGATATCTACTGACAAAAGAACATAGAAAACAACTCAAAGAATTAAGAGACAATAAAGATTGAATAATAAAACGTCCTGACAAAGGATCAGGAGTGGTCCTAATGGACAGAGATGTATATATTAACAAACTGACAACACTTATATCAGATGACAAGAAATTTGCCAAGCCCGACAATGAGAAAAACAAGACAGAACTGATTGAAAGACAACTAACAGATGTTCTCAGAAGAATGAAGAACGACCGTCTGATACCGGAGGACCTGTTCGACCGCCTCAAACCGACAGGATCAACTATTCCCCGACTCTACGGCTTACCAAAGGTGCACAAACCTGGCTTGCCCTTCGACCGATTCTAGACATGTCAGGGTCACCATACCATCCAATCGCCAAATGGTTGTCCGAAATGTTGGAGCCGGTAAGACAACACCTATGCAAATACTCTCTTCGTGATACTTTTGAGTTCATCGAATGCATAAAAGATTTGAATGTAAATGATAAACGAATGCTATCACTAGATGTTGAATCTCTTTTTACCAACGTGCCACTAACAGAAACAATTTGCTTTCTGTGCAATTATATGGAGAAATCTAATATAAGCGTCGGAGTACCAATATCATATCTGAAGGAATTGTTGCTGAGATGCACGCTGAATGTACAATTCACCTTCAACGGCGACATCTACAGACAAAAGATGGAATTGCAATGGGATCTCCTCTTGGCCCGCTTTTAGCAGACTGCTTTATGGCCAGTTTGGAGAGTGGAGTTTTAAAATCAACAATAAACAAATTAATACTATACAAAAGGTACGTTGACGATACCTTTATAGTCTGCTACGATAACTCGGACTTCAACTGCATCTTACAAGAATTCAATAATTCCCATCCTTCGATTAAATTCACAATGGAGTTAGAAAGCGATTCAAAGATTCCATTTCTGGACGTGGAATTGACAAGAAGAGATGATGGAACCCTGAAGAGGTCCATCCACAGAAAACCGACATGGAATGGCCAACTAACGCATTTCTATAGTTGGATACCTCTGAGCCGAAAACGAGCCCTCATCAGCGCACTAACCCATCGCGTTAGAAAAATCTGCAGCAACGATTGCATGGAAGAGGAGCTCCTATTCCTCAAAAATATCCTGGCTCAAAATGGCTACCCGACACGTTTTGTCGAAAAGAACATGAAACCTAAACCTAAAAGAGAAGAATGCGATTCAGCGCCAAAGAAAACGCTGTATCTAAATCTGAATTTCAAGGGAGATTTGGCAGCTGATATCCTGAAGAGGAGAATATCCAGCTCTTTAAAGAAGACCTTCCCTGCAGCAACACTAAGAGTGACATTCTCTAGCCGCCCAATACTTCGAAACAACACGAAGGACAAACTTTCGCATATGACCAATTCAATGTGCATATACCAGTTCACTTGCTCGTGCGGAGCTAGGTACATAGGTCGTTGTATGCGCGTCCTCTCAAAACGTGTTAGAGAACACTACCCAGCGTGGCTGCAAAGAGGAGGCACCGGTTCAATCAGAAGTGCCATTATTGAACATCTGGTCAACACCTCCCACAAAATCTCAACCGATTCTTTCAAAGTGATTTACAAAGTCAACAGAAACCTACCAAGAGCAATATGTTTCCGACTTCTTTGTACTGCAGAAGCCCTCGCAATATGCATCGAGAAGCCGGAGCTGTGTGTTCAAAAGAAGTTAGTCCAACCTCTACAACTACCATGGACCTAGCTTGGTATGTTCCCTTTGTTTCCGTTTTTTCCCTTCTTCGTCTTTTTTCGTTCACGCTTTTCTTTTTGAGCATTTTTCGTTCGCTGTGTGTCTGATTCTTAGTCCCTCAATCTTCATTAGATCCACCTAATTTTTTCATTTATAAAAAACAGTTATTTTAAGTTTGTTTCCATGCTTTTCCTGTTCACATTTATAATCCGTTTGAAATAACTATTTTACAATTATATCTTAATCCTGTGCAATTTTTGTGTTTCTAAGGCTTTTGTAATCTATATTCACACGTCCTAACTTTCATTTCAGGCTCAAATTATTATTTCATTTTCAGTTATAAAACTAGTTATTTTAATTTTGT